GGCATGGGAGAATGGAAGGTGTTCAACAAGGCAGCCCTATAATGAGAAACAGTTGAAATACAGGGGACCAGTCACACAGAAAGATGGAGTGGGGTGATGTTGGGATGAAAAACATCAGATTGTGGTTGTCAGAGGAACAAACAGGACAAAGAAAAGGGCAGAATCTGTTGCTCCAGTGAGGACCAGAGCAGAGGGAACGATATCTGAGACAGCCAATTTGAAGCAACCAGCATAACACAAGGAGTGGTCTGGACAAGAGAAAAGACCCAGAAGAGGAATCAGATTGGAGGGTAGGCACATAGGAGAAACCCCCTCCAATCTTGACTGAAAACATCCACCCCCCAGAGCTGAGAGGTGAGGAACTGGAGACCAAAAAGGAAGAAACTTTAGCATTCCAGAGAGTAGGAAACACATACATATATGTGGTATTCCCTGTTGAGGACACACCCAAAGAAATACCTGATGATAAAGAGACCACTTTGAGGAGAACCTGGTTGGGACATGATAAGAGATCAGCCACAAGAATCATAACTATGGGAACATGACATGCCCAAACTGTCATGTCATGGTCATTGGCCTAGTACAGGAAATCCAGAGTAGGAAAAGACAGAGATTTGGCCATGGCTCTCCCTTGCTTAGTGATAAAGCTGATGACAGTGGAATTTTCAGAATGAACCATAACCACCCTCCCCTGCAGGAATGGAAGGACATGATACAGAGCCCAATGAACTACCAAAGATTCCAGGATGTGAATATGAAGAGAAGGTTCCTCAACTTACCACTGACCTGAAATCTCTGGGGAATCGAGGAAACGCCCAACCCATAAAGAAAGTATCTGTGAACAGATGAGATATGGGATGAGGCAGAAGAATAGGAACATCCAACATGGTCAAGTCCCTGTTGAGCCACCGAGCAAGGTCGGCCATTATCCGAAGTGGAAGGGAGATGGGATGGTCCAAGGGTTTGTGGAGGAAGTTCCACTGGTCGAAAAGCATCCAATGAAGGGAATGCATTGCACCCAACCCAAAGGAATGAGAGCTTCCAAGAAAGCTCACATCCCCAAAAGAGCAAAATCGATAGAACCTCACATGCAGAGAGAGAAGGAGAAGATAAGATTAATGTCACTGCCAACTCTAACATTATGGAGCTATAGTGGAGAAGGATGACTTGACCAAGATGGGAAGTGAAGAGAGCTCCCAAATGAATAAGATACTGTAAGGGGATAGTAAAAAACTTCTCCAACTTCATGAAAAACCCCACCCGAGCAGCTTCTTGAAGAAGGAAGCATGTGTGTGTGATTGACTGGGCATAGGAAGAGGCGAGAAGAAGCCAGTCATCCATAAAATGGTGAGTCTGAAGACCCAGCTAATGAAGATGACATGCAAAAGTGTACCACTCGAAAAATCACATATAGAGTTGAAGAAAGATAGAAGGGTAGCACCCAGAACTGGAAGAAGGCAGAACCCTCATAGAGGAACCAAAGAAAAAAATGTTACACTGAGGCAAAAACCCCACCAAAATGAAAGGTAGGACTCCATGGTGAAGTGAGGCATCTCCAGATAAGTGTAACAGCAAAGACA